CTAAGATGACCCAGGTCGAGACTTTTTAAAGAACATACTGCCAAGCGTAATCTTTATCCCTTATTCTTATGCAAACTCAGGGCAGTCTTGTATTATTTCGTCACCATGACCATTAAAAGATGAAGGAAGGTCACCGACCCTAAATGAGCCTGTGGCCTTTTGCTTAGAAGCAGTTATCTAGGTTCTGGGGGTACTTTGGAGACCAACCTGAAATTTGACCTTGTTCGACCTTATTTGACACGAAGGTCATGACATAGTGACTTCGAACTTTGACCTAAGTGAGTTAACGTACAGGTCAACACACCCCGTAAATTTGGCATCTCGAGCTTTCTTATTTCACGAGATCTTAGGGAAAGGTCAAATTGACCCCCCCCCCCCCCCCACCCGAGCGAGGGGTATTTAGCCGGATACCCGGGCGCGTGTTAAGCTGCTTCGAAACTAGGCAGGCCATATGGGTCACTGGAGTTTAACGACCCACTCACCCGCTGACGCTATATGGCGTCTGCCGCCTCTCACTCTGGCAGAAGGGGCGAATACCGCGGGAAATCGAACCTCGTACTCCTGGTCCCTGAAATGCGCAGCTGAAATAGAGTGTTCCACGTTTGTATGGGGTTTTAAACTAAAATACCGATGTTAGAAATCATTCGGCGCAGTTCACAGCTCTGCCCTTCTTAACACCCAAACTCCCGTAGTTTCTGAGCTACGCCCCGCGAAGATGTGCAGACTATTTCGTGCAGACTATTTTAAGGTCACCCAGTCTTCCACGACGTCATATAATGCCATTAAATTCTGTCATTTCAGTGGTCATGCAGCGATCGAGGCCTGTAAAAATATGGCTGTCAATTCGTTTATACGTGGCGTTCGTGAGCACGGTTTCCAGATATGACGGATGTCAATTAGCTCTCAGTCAATGTCGTGCAAGGTACAATGACGCGATCAGACAGTGACATATTGAGGAGCCTATTTACTAAATAGGAAATTCGTGTTGCTTACAGCAGTCTTTTTTAGTTAAAAGTATCACAATGATTAAAGGTGAGTTAATTTCATCCGATTTGGTGCTGGCTTCAGTACCTTCAAGAGTGTAGTATTCCCATTAAACACCAAACTATGCTGACATGGGATGTTTTGGGTCGTTGACCTATTCTGACCTTTAAGAAGTTCATGAAAGATTATAAGGTGGCTTCTGTCATCAATAGATTCGAAATGAGCACCAAAATATATCTCATACAGCAAGCCCTAAGGTAATTAAACAGGTTGGTTTTGACCTTGGTCTGACCTTCACACCTGACCCAAAGTCAATGGAATTTGGTTATTTAAGTGCTATGTTGCCTAAAAGAGTATCTTAGAGATGCATGGCATCATCTGACACGCCGTTGTTGAATCAGATTGAACGATTCCCTGGAAATTGACTTCGCTGAATCTGTGACCTGAATTTGAGGTCAACGACCTTACAAAGTGCGCATAAATTGTTGGTACCAAACGATCCGCTTTGCAGTTTTCTACAGCTGTGCAAAATTTGGCGCGGCCACGACGTGTTCTTTGGAAACCATGCCGAAAAAGACTTCGGGGCAGTCAATTTGACCCCACCTGGGGGCGTGTTAATGGGTAGCTCCTTATTTCACCAGTTTTGACTTCGTTGCATATTCCTATATTGTACCACTTCTGGCTTCATTACATATTGATATATTTCACCACTCCTGCCTTCATTGAATGTTCCTGATTTTACACCAATTCTGGCCTCATTGCATATTCCTATTTTTCACCGCCCTTGACGTCATTACATTTTCCAATTCACTACTTTTAGTTGGGCGTCTGCCTGTCTGTGCACATTTCTGTAGCCAGACGCACAGCATCGGAATGAGCGGAGGGACGGAGGACTTTCATTTTCAGGAGACAGCTGGCTCACGCAGTTGAAGATTGTCATGAGATATCCCAAATATATGCGAAGCTGTACATCAGGGGTGGAAAAGTGCCTTTTCTGTCACTGACGACATCTGGAACCGTCTGAATCGTCACCTGGAGTCAAATCTTCCAGAAACCGTTGCAATTTATATATAATGCCATAAACCACAAAAACAAAGAGAAACTAGATGCAACGCGGCATAACCATCAAATATTTTCGTTTCAAGAGTTCATTTGCAGTATAGATTCATTTGCTGGCCATCAAACACTAAGTGATGGTTAAGACTGACCTTATAAAATTTTCACATAAAGGCATACTCAACACAACCAGCCTAAAGGCATATAGTTTCCTATTCAGTTGGGGGGGGGGGGGGGGGCGAAGCGTTATTGTGCCCCCTAACCAGGGATGCAGTGCAATATTTTTGATAATCATTTCATCCATTACTTCTCATTTATCACGATCTTGGGAGTTTAGCTGCTCAAAAACTGAATTTGAGAAGCTGCAGCCCTGCTCCCGACTGCGAAAAAGGCGTCAAATCTGGGGAGAAAGCAGTTTTAAGTGCATTTCAGGGGCAGGCTCAGTCATTTTTCTTCCTGCACCCGCCCCCTCTCCCTCCCCGTTCCGTCCCTCATCCCTACTTATTTCGCAAAACTGCGTCCCTGTAGCCTTACATTTGCTGACAACATGGTTTTACAAGCACCTGAAACAATATCACTTTTGCTTTTGTTACTTCATCGTACAACCAGCTGTAAGCGTTAGTGATCTTCGTTATCCTGGCAGAATCATTTCCGGTACAGAACTCGCACTTCCTAACGTGATCCCAATGATTTATAGCAAAACCCATTCAATGACGGTACGAACAGATGCAAACGACATTTTTGAACGCCTCTATCGCCTTCATTTAGTTTTATATGCAATATGCTGACAACTAAAAGTGTTTTATCGCACGCTTGTCCACTGAACAGTGCGCAAAGTCTGAGGTACGGGCAATATGCGAGGCTTACACCAGCGATGCTCGACCTCTTCCTTAGAGCCGCTGTTCCTCTCAGCAGCAAGGAAGCCATGGAAGAATCATTGACATGTGTCGCTCCAACGACCTCCGTTTACCTCTGAAGCTACGGCTCAGGTTTCCACAAGAAACAATTCCCCTAGATCGGCAGGGCTTTTTAACGCTATTACTTTTTAAAAAAACTGGCGGTTAGCTACGTTCTTCTAGCCAGACAGCTTCTCACGACATGAACACAACCAACAGCAGCCCACAGCCTTGCACTAAACCCAACCCATTACCGCGTGGCGAGCAATCGAGCCCATCTCTCTCAAATGGCAGCCACGATGCTTACGACTAGGAATAAGTCTAGTGATTTGGTATTTTATACTGTTTAGTAGGTGAAGAAAGTCTTGGCCGAAAAATCTGTGAAAAACACTGATATGAGGGGAATTGGAAAAGCACTGTCACCACTGATCTGTGGCGTCAGCACTGATACAGTATAGTTCGTAGCATGTTTCTGTCGCCTGCTAAAAGTTATCATGATTAAAGGCATTATGTTTGGCAGCTGCTTGTGACTCAACTTGCTCATAAAGTGAAACGGCACTGTTTCGACGCATACTCACGCTGCAAGTGTTAGCGAGTACAGATCAATACCAAGCTTTTAAGTTCGTCGGGCTGGGATAATCTGGTGTGATGTAGTCTTGTCTGTTGAAATTCGCTTTCATCTTCGGAAATTTGTCACTAGTTGGTTCGAGAAGGTACCAGTTTTTGTCGCCGATCATATCCGGTAGATCAGAAGCTTTTCTCACCCCTGCTGCACATGGACAGTACCTTACAAAGAGAATGAGTCTGGAGGATCCATGAATACCACCTGTCCTTAATATTTTAACTGACGCACATTTTGCACTACACATGTTGACACATAAGTCAGTTTTATACGGTGTAGCGCAGCGCTAGCAACGCCAACAATCTCACCTCCCAAGGCAACGAAAGAACCGGGGACCGCCTGTACAGTATGCGTAATTAAGAACATATGTTTCTTTGCCCTGATTTTTAGGCTGGTTCAGAGAGCCGCGCGGATATCGGTTGCGTTTCAAGGTGCGACGGTTTAAGCTTTATGACAATATACAACGAATATAAATTCACGTCCATCATACCACGGTGCAGGCCGCAGCGCTTGGGAAATGGAGTATATCATGAAATGTAATAAGGAGCTGCTTTACATGATGGAGAAGCAGGACATGCATGTGGATTCATACTGGTCATAGATCATGCCAATGAAAATATAATATATGGTACAATATATATATATATATATATATATATATATATATATATATATACGAGATATATATAATAAAAAATTGAAGGTCTTCGACATCCGAAGTGGGTGGAAAGGTGCAACATGGACAATGTATATTCATATTTGTAAAACTGCTGACGGGTATTCACTGAGACCCGCTTCACATTGTGCCCAATAATACGGTGTTGGCGGCGACGCTGCAGGTGCCAATGGCGTGGCCTCTTTGCACAAGAAAGCAAATGAGAACCGTTAACATATCCCCAAGCGCCTGCAAAGATTACTTAATAATGTTGTTTGCTATGCATGAACGGCAACTGTCCAGGATCATTTTCACTCTCATTAGGATAGACACGAGAGCGTTCGACGAGATTCCAGACGTCCCACGGCTCCGTGTCCGACGACAATCGATCCAGCTGTGTGGACGTATTCCCACATCTCAGTGCTTTCCCTTCCTGGTGTCATATAAAAACAAGCTTTACAAATTGCAGTACACGGAGTCTGCCGGGGAACGGTGAGGTACCCGGAGTCAGCGGGGAGACAGTGCAGTACCCGGAGTCAGCCGGGGGACGGTGAGGTACCCGGAGTCAGCGGGGAGACAGTGCAGTACCCGGAGTCAGCCGGGGGACGGTGAGGTACCCGGAGTCAGCAGGGAGACAGTGCGGTACCCGGAGTCAGCCGGGGGACGAGGGTCAGCCGGGGGACGGCGCCGGTGTCGGCTGGCAGCGCCGCCGCCTGGAGTAGGCCGGCGACCGGCTAAGTTTGGCTCGCTGGCTCGGCTCCAGCGGTGCCGCGGCCGCCAGGCCCCACTGGATGCTCCAGCTCCCAGAGACCCGTCGACGTCCACGGTGCTCACATTCCACCGGCCGCGGTCTCTCTCTCACTCTCTCTGTCCTCTCTCGACAGGCCCAGCCCCGTGACTGTAAGTGAACCGCCGCGCCCGCGGCCGCGCTGGTGGCCTCCTTGGGCACCGAGCGCCGTCCGCAGCCGGCGGCTTTCCGTCTCACACCCTGAAATTGCAACTAGTGGCTTAAATGACGCTCTGAAGTATGTGTGTGTGTTGTGTGTGTGTGTGTGTGTGTGTGTGTGTGTGTGTGTGTGTGTGTGTGTGTGTGTGTGTGTGTGTGTGTGTGTGTGTGTGTGTGTGTGTGTGTGTGTGTGTGTGTGTGTGTGTGTGTGTGTGTGTGTGTGTGTGTGTGTGTGTGTGTGTGTGTCCATGGGTGAGGAGTGTGTGGGTTCCAGGGCCCGGTGAAACATGTGAAACCTTCGAGTCCAGTGTGTGGGATTCTGGAAGGTGTGAAAGAGACTGAAACAGCGCCTGGGCCTTTGACAGAAGGCGGATGACCCCTCTCGCGCGCATGCGGTGTGGAGTTCGGGCGGCTTCCCTGGCATGCATTTTCTAGCCACGCACAATGATCAGGGCGCCGTGTCGTCAGGCATTCCCGCAATATCGTTGTTAGTCGGTGGGCGTCGTGGGCGGGTCGGTGGGAGTGGCCACGACGGCGGCGCGGCCCAAATAAGCCGGGCCCGGCCGAGCGGCGCCTCGTCGGTACGTCTGGTGCGGCTCCGGCCGGAGCTGGTCCGGCCCCGCGCTGGCACGCCGGCCACAACGGCGCCCCGCCGGACTCGCGGATCCCGGCACCGAACGGCTCCACATGAACGTGCCGCGCCGTAACTGATCTATAACAGGCCAACCACCGCTCAGCAGGCCATCGAGTGAACTTCTTCTATGCTGTCGGGCACCGGATCTCTTTCCTACCGACCTTCATTGGCGCTGTCTCTGTCCTTTTCGGCTTTTGGTGGAGGGAGTTTATGACAGGTTTGCATGGCCAGGTGTCATCTTGCAATCGTGCCATCAGCAGCGCCGGCGCTATGATACCGTCAGCAACATGGTGCAATGGTATCGTGTTTGGGGTACGGTGATCCGGTATGCTGCGACGCAATGTTCCGCATCACGAATGCGCACTCCCATACTGCTAGATCCGTGAGCCGCATTCATATCCGGAAAGTTTGGGGAATCAGGGTCGTTTGAGGGAGCAAATCATAGGCAACGGAGTACTCGTACCCTTATTAGTAGATAGCAAACAAAGGTAGCATAGCGTAGCATAAGGTCATATTGTTCTTAAGCAGATGCCCGATTATTACTGACAACATGGGCCTGTAAGCACTCCCACAACGATTTGAGTCTTTCGAGACACTATTTAGTGTAGGGCAAAGTCTAAGTCCCCAGTCCATGCATCGCAGTGTCTGTCTGCATCTTTGTAGCTGGTTGTCCACTTTGTGGCTGCATATCCAGGGTCACAAGGCTCACCAGGGCTTCCTGGAACATCAGACGTAAAACATCGAGGTTCTGTCATGTGTTGCGTATCTCTGGACGGATAAGCAGCAACCTGCTTCCATAACTAATAGGTGCACTCGGCAATTAGGAGCGCCGTGCTGCGCCGCCCCCCCCCCCCCCCCCCCCCCCCCACCGTGCAGATTAACGCGAAAGGTTCGCCAGGTTCGCCAGGGTTTACTGCAGGACCAAATGTAAAACATTGGGCTACTTTCATTAATTGCAAATTCTAGTTTGCCAGGATTTCTACATGCCACTCGGCAATTAAAAGTGCTGTGCTGTGCCCCTCCACCGTGCGCAGGTCAACGCAATGGGTTCGCCAGGGCACGTCCTAGGACGAGGCGCCCACTGGAACCCGCTCCGTCGTGCAGCGAAACACTATGGCGCAGTATCCCTGTGGACGTGATTCAGACCCGCGTGGACGAACTAGTCCCCCGCCTAAGGATGACAAAGGAGGCGTAGCGTCAACATCGTTCCAATGCGAGTAGGGCTGCACCACATGCCCAAGCTAGCTGTGAGTAAACCGTAAACCGATAGGACCAGGTGCGCGACGAATATGGGTCGGTCAAAAATAGCACTGACGCGCGGCGCCCCTAGCGGGAGCCGCGTGAAACACGGGTGAAGCAGGCTGAACGGGTCTGGCGGGCAGAACATTGGAGGTTCACGCTTGCTTGTTGATTAACGGTCTCAACCCAAGAGGTTCGGTGTGAACTGACCCACGTGGTATACCTGTTTGCACTCTCGCCGTTGTTTGCAGCCGTTAGTCCCGAAGCTGCAATATTTCTGCAAGGTTTTAGTTTCATATGGCCTCTATGGCAGGGTCGAGCACGAGAATGGTAACGAACTCGCAATGCGGCGCATGTGCGACAGCACCATGGCAAAGTCAATCTAAGGCCCGTTGCAATATGCATTAAACCGGCACAGTAAAGATAAGCCCCGTCGCAATGTAGGAGTAGCAACTTCCCTTTTTCAGGTAGTTTTGGGACAAAACGCTTCCTTTCCTAATCAAACTTCTTATCTCGTTCTATAAATTACATGGCTGTGCCACGTTTAAGTGGGACAATCCCGTCAATGCTCGCCCTGATTCGCCATTTTTCAAAGCGAGGACTAATAGGGGGTTTGATGGGACCCTTGCTGATGTTTCCAAACTAATAAAGATATAGATTAGTAGAAAACACTAGCGGATTGTTCTCAACGACCCCTCGCGACTAGCACTAGCTTCTATGTTTTAGATCAATAATTGACACCATTATGGCAGGTCAAATGTCGAATTTTCAAGAAAGTCGTACTTTTTTCAGCTTACGGTATCATACCTACGAGGCATTGTCGTAAGACGACACGAAAGTTAAACAGGTGTGTTTCTTGTTCTACTCGAAGTATAATGGCATCTATTGTTGTGCGTTTTGAGCGCACATTTATGATATACGGCTCCGTTAATGTAGCAATGGCGCGTTTCGCGACATTGTTGGTTGACGTCCGCCCGCTCAGGTCGTACGTCACCGTGCAGTGTTCCCCAAAAACCGTCGCTGCCCCGAAACTACAAAAGCTAAGAACACGTTTTTTATGTCAAAGCACATGCAATATGTGCTCACTATAGGTACCACTGGGAACTTGTACACGACTGCACAACATGCTAAAGAGGTGTCGTAAAAAAACTTAGGGCTGCATCAACCCTTGAAGGGCGAGGATTAAAGTGAGAAAGACAGAGGCATGCATTTTACGATCAAGGCTATTCCTGTGTTCGTGAACGGAACTAATCTGTCTTGACATGCTTTAGGTGCCCCTGCCAAACCACTTTTGTGCCACAGTTTGCTCGTTGAACGAGTTAAAATTAATGTCCGGCTAAGAATTACATCATTCGAAAGACAGTATCTAGTCAAACTGTTGCAATATTTTCATGAGAGAATGTCAGTCCACCCATGCAACACCATACAGCCTTTGCTGTAAGGTGCAGACATTTTGCATGCACAACGCGTCATTTGAGCAAAAAAATTATAACAACGAAAGACAATTAGACATTGCAGGATTTATAAGGTATTTCCTGTTTTTAGTAATACCATCGATCAGAATATGATTGTTTCGGATATACTTCGCATGCACATGTCCAAAACGCGTTTTTGATATTCAACGGGAATATTCATGTGCACGTTATTTGTCACCTTTAAAAACTTGTGAAAACGTTACTCACTCGAATTTTACAGGAAATGGAACGTCCTATACATAAACAGCAAGAACTTTCAAAACAGGAATCCGCCAGAAATCCAAAAATTAAAGTGGCACTCGTTCATTTGCTTAACTCTGTGTACGCCCTGGGGTGGATCCAGGACAGGATCTTCTGGGATGGCCAAAGTCCATTTTTCCCAGACTTTAAGTTCGTGATGCTGAGAGTAAGATCGTGATGCTAAAATCAAGAGATATTGGTGGTAACTAAGATGTTCTCCGCAATCTTGGGAGTGGACTTTATCTAGCTGCACCAGAAAACTCCTTGCGTCACCTCCATCTAGGCACGTTTGGCACTCTCAGCAAAATTATGGTGCGTTCAGTGAAAGAAGGTGAGGCAGCCGTCAAACCTGCTACCCTTGCCGCATTTTCTGATCATGTCCGACGTGTGTATGCAATGTTTGCCCAGAAATCACTGTTTTAAAATCCTGTAGAAATATCCACATATGGCTGAACCAAAAGTATCCTGAATGCTATTTCTAAAGGCAGAAACTTTCGGACAGATCGCTCGCAGCAACAGTAATCAATGAAACGATGCAACTGCTAAGGGCACAACAAATGACAAATTTGCCTTTTCGGCTGAAACCATTGCAAGCACTATATTATCGTGATAAAGCCACATTAGCCGTCTTGAAATACAAGCTTCTTGGTGATAATCGCCCATAATAAGCCCACTTGCTATCGGCCACCGAACCCGGCCCGAGCTGCGACAGACCCGACGGACGCCCGAGCCCGGCCCTGGCTGCGACAGACCCGACGGACGCCCGAGCCCGGCCCTGGCTACGACAGATCCGACGGACGCCCGAGCCCGGCCCTGGCTGCGACAGATCCGACGGACGCCCGAGCCCGACCCGGGCTGCGGCAGATCCGACGGACGCCCGAGCCCGGCCCGGGCTGCGACAGATCCGACGGACGCCCGAGCCCGGCCCGGGCTGCGACAGATCCGACGGACGCCCGAGCCCGGCCCGGGCTGCGACAGATCCGACGGACGCCTGGGAAGCGGATGTTTACCTTGGCCCACTAGGGCCTGATATTCCGGTGGCCAGCTGAGCACTGCATAAGGGGAGGGCGGGGGAAGTGCGATGCGAAAACATCCCACCTCGGTCAAAATGCCATGTTAATCGCCACCCGAAAAATACCTTAAATTTGTCAGGCTGTAGCACAAACGATGGACTGCCGTCCAAATGGATAGATACTTTGTTTTCTCCCCTAAACGTATCGTATTGTTTGGGGAAACGGCGACACGGACACCTCGCACGCAGCGTCTTGCAGTACATAAATGGCTCCGCGCTCTACATACTCCAGCGGCTGCGTTCTTGGCTCTCCCTCTGACCACAAATTCCGCTGCCAGGCGACAGACATTTTAATTGGCCCGACGCCAGGCGAGTCAACCTGCCGGCAGCCGGCCCAGCTCGCGTTGGAGCCAAGGAGATGTCTAGGCCAGCCTGGATCGCAGCGAGTGCCAGCAACGAGCCAGCGCTGGCGGGGCCACACCGCAAGCCGTAGAATGTTTGCGATGGCATCTGCGCGGGCGCCTTTGCTGCCCACTCTGGAGGCGTGTAAAGCAATCAGCCCGAGCGCATCGTCGACGCACAATGAGAATCGATCCTAAATACGTGGTCCACGCCCTTAGATTTATAGTGTCGGTGGTGTTTTGGAGTCTCTGTTTCCATGCAGCAGCACAGCGGTTCGAAATGAACGCTTCATATCATTAAAGGAGCTAAAGGGGCCTCTGCCACTTCCAGACAAAATGTCACACCACCAATGTCCACGACCACCCCGAATGTTCAAAACATAACAGTGGGAATGTTACATCAAAGAGGACGGCTCTCCTGATCCGACATATTTAAGGATCCATTATGTCGATGCTACCAGCAGAATGCAAATATAATTTAACTTGAAAAATGTCACGCTGTAATTTAAATGTAAGTGTTTTTTCCAAGCTTACCGTGTTTCTCCTGTTTCAGGTAGAGACAACTCAAAATGTCTGACGACGAGGTTTATTCGTAAGTGAGCCTCGCTGAAACCCAATTCCGATAACCAAGCACTCGGCCGAGTGCTGCTCTGGCTAAAGTGCTATGATCGTTTCTGCCGAGCGACCAGGTGGATTACAGAGCTGATGAGTGGGCGAGCGCGGCCACAGACCATTAGCAGCCGAAGCGCTGATGGCCGCTGATTGCCGCTGATTTACGCAGCTAATTACCGAGTGCACCAGGATGGCAGTCTTACCCCGCTATTAAAGTGTGCAATCCGTGCAGCCGATCAAGCGTTTTTAGCGTTTTACAAAGCTGGTATTTCAGTTAAGTTCTGTAAACCCAGCTGCATTAACTAATGCGGCTTTTTGCCATCGCAGCGATAAGAGACATGTGTAAGCTTATTGCTCTTAACTCGCTAACCGTAACCTTTAGCCATGTACAATACGCTCTGCCTACTCGCGTTAGCAACGGGTTTGCAACGCGTGACCCAAAGCAACGATCAATGCGTTGTGGCTGTAAACTATGCAGCTTGATGCTTCTATCCGGCTTGGAACAACAGCGCTCTTGTGTTTGGCATTTACGGACGCTGTTTTTCCTTTCAGTTCCGAGGAGGAGGAGGTGTAAGTATTCTTCGCGGCTTTGCCAAGCATGCCGGTTTTGCGACTACCAAACTTAAAGCCTCTTCACATCCACATCAAGCCTTTGCATTCCAAGTGTCATGCCAAATTGGTTCGTCCTGGCTTCCCCTTATCATTATGCAGCCAGCACAAGTTGCCATGTTGCGAGAATCGAAGCCAGCTATCGGCCTCCGTCGGGTTACCTACATCCCTTCGCTGTAGTGGAGGGGACCATCGCTCAGTCAGTACGCTGCATTAAACTTAATCAAAAGACAGCAGGCTTTTGCCATCTTCCTACTTCAGAGCCTGATCACTTCTCGCAGACTGCTTAAACGTCGTGAACAACTATCGTTGGATGTTATTCTGCTCAGCAGCAGGGAAGAGTGAACCGTCTGTGGCAGCGCTCAAATCTGCGCAGATCGGACGGGCTGGGCTGACATTGTCAGTCTGCTCAGTGCTCACGCTGCGTGTCTGGCTGCTCAGTGCTCACGCCGTGTGGGTGCTCAGTGCTTACGCCGGGTGGGTGCTCAGTGCTCACGCTGCGTGTCTGGCTGCTCAGTGCTCATGCCGTTTGGGTTCTTGGGATGACTTGTCTCTGACCTTGTATCCTCTGTGTCCCGTTCATAGCAGCGAGGAGGAGGAGGAGGTGGTCAAACATGAGGAGTGAGTAGCGTGCGTCCCCCGTGTCGTTGTCCGTCGCTGAGCCTTCTTAGTGTACCGGCACTGCACACAGTCTCACATGCGACACAGAGACTGCGTAGCAGGCGTGCTTTCAGAGTCGTCCAACCAGCTGGAAGCAGTGATGCGCTGGCGCGACATTGTAGGGGTTGGGCGTAGATACTTGAATGATATCGTCTGGTAATATATGCGTGGCTTCACTTGCATGCAACTAATAGGCGTTACAAGAACCATGTTTGCGAAATTTGTGTACGTTGATGTACAATATACGCCGACAGCTCTAGCCTTAACGCACCCCGAGTTGCGTGAATGGTACAAGCTCACACACCATAGTCGCTCTTTCCCAGTTGTCATTTGCCGGTCACAATTTAAAATCAATATATTATTTCGGTTCACTGAATCCTTCTGCATGCAGCCTTCTTATCCCGTTCAGCAAAATGCCAGACTATCCAACACCGGCGTACAAACACCATCAAATCAGGCGAGAGTATAAAGGAAGGAACAGTGTTTGAATGTGACACAAGGTTCACACAGCACTAGCCAAGTTACTCAGCAGATTTAGCTAAAATAATTAGATTGCCGAGCCACGCTCATCTTGTCACGTGCGCGGGAGCAATTTTTGCTTTAAGGGGGGTGCCGGTGTATAAATATATCAAACCTGATTACTCGTCGTTTGAGTTTGCCATCCCCACTCTGGTTTTCACCACCAAAACCGAACTAACCGAAACCAGCCCCTTTGGTTGTACGTGCTGTTTGTATGGCGTGGCGCGAGATCCCTGCCTGCAGTGCGAATAGGCTGTTAGAAAACGGATTCGATCTTGACGATACAGGACCCGCCGCCATCACGTAGTGCCATTAGTGCTGATTTCTAGCATATAGATGACTGCGATTATTTTCGAAACTACTTGGAATGCCTTAGTCGGTACTGGATAGCATTTTTCGTTCCGGCCACCACTCACCGTAAACGGTGTCAGCGGTGTGACTTTTGGTAGCAGCGTATTAACGTGTACCCCTCTGGTCTCCCCACAGGCCGAAGCCCGCAAAGTAAGTCTGAAGGGCTGTCCTGCTTTGACGACGGTGGTTTGCCGCACTGTTCTCTGTCCATGTACCTGCTGTTCGTTTCTTCAACCTGAGGCGTGAAAATGGACTCTTGCGGAGCTGGCACTGGCCAGGAAGACAGTGCATGCTGTACAGAGTTGAATGATACTTATTGGCACTGTCTTCCTTCAGTTGTCATTGGCCGCTGAATTCAAGAACATTTACACGTCTTCGAGCTCATCGCCATGTGCTTACGTTTTCAGCTATTCGTTTTAATTTATCGTCTGAGGTGTTCTGCATGACTGGGCTCTCAGAAAGTCGGTTTGCTGTCGAAAACGTTGTCGACTTCAACTTTCAGCAGAGAGTTGAAGACCTTGCATCATTGACCGGTTTTCACAGATTTTCTGGGAGAATACTTGTGAAACGCCACAGCTACACTGGCGAGCGCGTTGTTGTGCGCTGGTCCCACCTCTGAGTTCTAACCACGTCTGAGCGGTTCCATCCGGGACCAACGTGCTCGTTGACGCTTGTGCTATCTGATGCAGCAGTGTTCTCTGGGTTGCTCTTGCTACTGGCTTGCCCCAGCAGTCGCTGCATTGAAGAACACGCCCACACTTGAGCACGCATACTATTTGCTTCCCTGTGCTGTGGTGTAAGGTTTGGGGGGGGGTCACGCACAGTTTTTTAAGAACCTTACTATGCTGGTCCTGATGCGGATGATTTGATAGTCCATGCCGAAAACTGAACTGTGACCAAATGGTAAATCGTCCTAATTCTTGTTTTGTTTTTGTTTTGCCAGGGCATAGACCTAAACGTTCACAAAATGGAGCCCATCGTTCCTTGTCATAACTGCATGCACATGTCTCTCTCGGTGAAGACGTGCCCATTCGGTGCAACCTTTTAGCAAGACCAAATGCACTGACGTTTTTTCCTTGTCAGAGTATGCATTTCTGCAAGTGCTTAGTAATACTGTTTGTCATTACATCTTTTTAAGGCAGGTGGCACCAAAAGTAAGATGCATTGAACATAACATGGTCATATGGACCAGTCGATGATAAGCGGTACGTCTCCTGGACTATGAATTCTGCCAGCATCGCCTGGTCATGTGATAGTAGGCGGCATCCACCCCCACAACAAGCGCCTTCTTTCTATCGCTCAAATGACCTTGATCTGCTTGGACGTTACAGGCCGGAAGAAAAGAAGGAGGAGAACATCTTCACTGTGAGTAAAGACAAATACTCCATCTTTTTCTTTGAATTCATACATATATGTGGACGCGAAGTACTACACACACTATAGTGCTTCCATTGATGAAATCGATATACTATGGGATGGATGTAACACTAACAAGCCCATTTTTTACTTTACTTCACTTTACTTACATTTACCCCTTCGTGAATTTCAGTACATATAAAATGCGCTCGTGCGACACTTTGACCTTCAAGAACTGAGGCAAGTATTGTTAAGTCGCAATGAATTTCGCTGGAGCTTTACCCGGTAAAGAACCAGCATGTTTCGATCCGCCTGAATCCATTGCAGTACTGACACCGAGCAGTTAACAGAATATACTCGAGATAAAGTTTTCACCCTTTCCCTGGCCTGTTTCATACAGCACCGTCCTCAAACAACCACCTCGGAGCTGGACGAGCAGCTCAAGGAGTACATCGCTGAATGGCGCAAGCAGAGGGCCAAGGAGGAGGATGAGCTGAAGAACCTGCGGGCTAAGCAGGCCAAGAGGAAGGTGAGCTAGCTGCTGACGCGCGCCAGAAAATTCCAGCTGCTGCAGTTCTGCGGCGCTGCGCACAGGCATACATGTTTAAACATTTTGCTATCAACTATATACAATTAAATATATATATATATATATATATATATATATATATATATATATATATATGATCTACCTCCCAATATTTATCAATGAAATCTTATTCAACAAAGCTATTTAAGTTTTCTTCTTAAGATACCTATTTTCTCTACCTATTCATGTAACACCAGCGTCGCAGTCTCACTTCTTTCCATGGCACCGGCCATAGCCGGCGCGTAACACCGGCTGTGGAATGTCCGTGTGACACCGACCGATGACACCGGCAGACGGCTCCCTTTCGTGACCCGCCGAGTGGCGCTGACCCGTCCGCCGGTGCGGTAGGTGCTGCGCGCCGAGGAGGAGAAGCGTCTGGCGGCCGCCAAGAAGGTCGAGGACGAGCGTCGCCTGCGCGAGGAGCAGGAGAAGAAGCAGCGCGAACAGGAAGAGAAGCGCCGCCGTCTGGAGGAGGCCGAGAAGAAGCGTCAGCTGCTCGAGCAGGCCTCCAAGGCCACCGCCGGCGGCAAGATCAAGATCAGCAAGAGCAACGATCCGGTGAGTGTTGTTACGGTCGTGGTTCGTAGCTGGTGGTGATGTCACTGGTGCACTCGCATGCGCTACAATGGTGAGTGTGTGGATGCTGAATGTGAAGGCGATGGGCGTTGATCGAGCGATGGCCGCATGCTGCTCTATGATTCGAATGGCTTCGGAGATGGCTGTCTTTTGCTGCAGGTTTCCGCTGCTCCCGTCAAGGCCGAGACCAAGACCAAGGAGCAGTTGGCGGAGGAGAAGAAGATGGCGCTGGGTGTCCGCATCCAGGCGCTCAAGACCGAGGTCAGTTGGCAGGAGGAATCAACAGCGAGCTCCGTTCGAAACTGTTTGACTACACTGACGAGCTTTGTTGAAACGCAACCTGTGCACTGGTATGTGGCGCCATGGAGTTGTGTGGCGCTTCATCAGGGGCGGTTTAGCTCTCCGTTCTGTTTCGGCGTCATGCACTAAAAGCCCTGGTGTTTCGGGGATATTTTGTTAAACATTTTCGGATTGAGTTCATGGTCGGATAAGCGCCGATAACTTTCGATAAGAGGATGCTGCCGAAATATCAGCCAACTATATCTCCATTCTCCTGGTTTTCCGGCGAATCAGACCGATACTAGTGTCTAATCTGTGTGAATAATGTTCCTCGCTAATGCACTGACTAACTTACGGACATCCAGGCAATTTACGAAATAGGTACTTTCGAAAACTGATACAAAAGGATTGGCTCTCAGCTTTCTTGAGTGCCATGTGACTAATGGTTCTGCTATTGATTCAATTGTGACCATTATCCGTAGATACGCTCTAATCGAGACCTTCGATTGCTGTCTCTTCTTCGGCTAACTGCTGATTTGCCCATGTGGCATCTACTGACACCCACGAGATGCTTCTACGTCTGATATCGGCAAATGCCGATTGCCCATGTGGCATCTACTGGCACCCACGAGTTGCTTTCATGTCTGCCAAATGTAAAACGGGTGGCTCTGTAAATGCGTTAGACATGTTTACGTTGCAAAGTATTGCAATCAAGTAATTATTACGTTTGTCATTTCAGCAAGCTTCACGCGTCATTTTGCTTCAGGGCATGGGCCTGGAGACCCTGAAGAAGAAGGCTGAGGAGCTGTGGAACAAGCTGGTTCAGTTGGAGACCGACAAGTATGACTTGGAGGAGCGCCAGAAGCGCCAGGACTACGACGTAAGTCGTCTGACAGCATCTTGGATTTTGGACGATGCGCTGAAACTAAATTCCAAAAAACGACATGCGAAACGTGTAGCCTGTTAAATAGCAAGAGACGAAGTAAGCTTAGACGACGACATAGCAACATATTCACCAAGCACTTTTTCCAGAGTTTTTGAACGTTCAGATTTATTTTCTGGAGACAGACAGTCAATGGCTGACTTTTTTACTGATACCTTTAGACGTCTCTAACTCTAAGCACTTAAAGATTTACTCAATTTCCTCCCACCTTCAGTTAAATCTCACATTTCCTTCCCCCCTCTTCTTAAAATAACCATATTGAATACAGCGCTTCAGCCCATTCTATTTGGACCAGTTTGCGTACGGGGCCAGGGTGACGGCGGCGGATCCTTCACCCGTGACCTACGGGCAGGGGGCACCTCGTGACGCATCCCGCCCGGCGGGTTTCCAACAGAGGGCGCGCCGGCGTGCTGTGCTGGCGATCCGGGCAGGCCGAGGCTCGGCCCCGGGTACGGCTCCGGGCAGGCCGAGGCCCGGCCCCGGGTACGGCTCCGGGCGGGCCGAGGTCCGGCCCCGGGTACGGCTCCGGGCGGGCCGAGGTCCGGCCCCGGGTACGGCTCCGGGCGGGCCGAGGCCCGGCCCCGGGTACGGCTCCGGGCGGGCCGAGGTCCGGCCCCGGGTACGGCTCCGGGCTGGCCGAGACCCGGCCCCGGGTACGGCTCCGGGCGGGCCCGGTCCCCTCCGGACGACGGCGCTAGCGGCCAGGCTAGACTATCGACGCCTCTCTATAGGTCACTTTGAGCAGTCTGTCTGTCTGTGGTTGAGCCATTAGAGCTTACGCTGAACCTCCGAGATATGTAGTTGGTGCTGTACCCTGCTGGACGTCGGTGGTAGATTACCAGGCCCCCCTAGCTCTCTGTTCTTAGAACCCGTCGGCTCGCGCGAAGTGACATAAACAGAAGGCGGGCGAAGGACAACTGCATCGCCCGCGCACGACATCAACGTGATGGACCCCATCAGACGTTTAGAACACGTTTTTACGCCCAAAGTCAAATAGGGATGTAGCGTAGCTGAAAACAGAATTCCTTTTTGTGTCATGAATGCATAGCATGCGTATTTCGCTAACGAGGCGTATAATTAGAATTTGCGCTGAGAGTAGTTTGGTTAACGTTACGTAGACGTTAACCCCTTTGCCAAGTGTCTCGAACCATGGAAGAACATGGTTCTTCCCAGCTTCGGCTATACCGCTTAGACCATGGAAGGACATGAAACAACCCAAGCTTCTTGGGCTAATGATAATGGCGATTTCTTGTCCATCACGCAAAGCCACAACACGACTGTCCGTCTTTTCTGAACTTGGTCTTATTCCGCCGAACATCATTAGGCCTAATTTGTAGCAAGTTTTGATACGGGCTGAAAATGGGATAAACATGCGGCAAAACAAACCGTTTGTTGTCAGGCCTGACAAAATAGCCGGAAAACATGACTCCGAAAGTGTTTTTGCCTCACCATATAACAATTCGTCATTTAACGTTTGCAGATGTGGTTTCATGGGCCCAAATCATTAAACATCACAAACGTATAATGATAAATAAATATGGGATCACGGAATGAAAGCACATCCGGAGCAAAAAGTGGCGGATTTTTTTTATATCCTGGGTGCATACTATGGAATTCGCTACCGCTTACCCCATTGGTTGTGCATTTTAGACTCAGAACCAGATTGGTGTCCCGTCTTATACTGTTAGCGCGAAAGGGGCCATGTTTGACACATTTCGGTAGCTTCAGTAGGCAATAATTTGATTACCGTCGTCTTCGGCCTGTAAAGGCGTCTGCAAATATGGCTTGGCACCAGCTGATTTGCGTTCTTCTGTGTTTTAAATGATTCAGGGGTGTATTGTGCATGCCGCAGCTCGAATTTGATATGTAGGTGGCTTATCCCATGAAATGTAAGATGAGAATGCCAGATGGTATTGACGCATGCATGCTAGTATTTCATATTGCTCTTGGGTGCACTTATGTCAACTGGATTACCAGTAGTCAGAACTGTGCTGTACGCATTCGATTACATGCCGATTGAGGAATGTCCAGATTAGCCTCATCCTGTTACTTAGATTCAACATGACCAGGCGTTGTGCAGCCTCTGCTGCAGTTGTTCGGTTTACTCCATCGGAGATGTTTTTGTTGTAGCTTAAAGAGCTCAGGGAGAGGCAGAAGCAGCAGCTTCGGCACAAAGCCCTTAAGAAAGGACTTGACCCCGAGTAAGTGGCTGCACCAAGCCTCAGGCTGCGGGAATGATCAGCACGAGTATGAACGCCTAGCGTTCGTGTCACCATAGCCCCAATAGAGATGCAGCAATAGACCTTTGGTCCTAGACCCTTCAGACGACCAGGATCCCTAGTATCCACTGCACGCCCCTCACTGTGTCCGACGCAGCAGCAGTAAGCGGCATCGAGCACCAGCTGATGCATGATGTAGCACTAGCACGAACCGACCCTGAAACCGAGAAATCAGCAGCTGACTGCAGGTTTCGTCATGGTGTCCAAAAGAAGCCAGCCGACTGTAGCCTGACGTTAAGCTGTAGCCGTGCAGAACTCGAAACAAGTGGTTCGCAGATCAAAAATTGGCAACTGAGCCAGTCAGTCACTCTTTCCTTGGACCAATTTTCATCTTTTCCATAAGAGATTACAGTTCCGAGAACCAAGTATGCATGTACAACAGGTCCGGTTGTGCCAACTGTGCTGGTCCCTATTGGTGGAGCTGTAGCACCTGAGTTCTAAGAACGCCACAGGCGAAGTGCTTGGCCACTGGACCGGCCTCTTGTCAAGGGTTGAGGGGTGCACGGAGGTGGGTGTGCGCTGTAGCGGCCCCGTAGATCTTCCGTCATCCAATGATAAGTAGCCGTCCCTGAAGTTTGCATAGGGCAGCTGCCACCGAAACGTCATGAACGGTATGAATCCACTTAGTGCTGACCCTATTTAGTGCGACCCGTTGTACACGACCGAGCTGCTGTTCCAGCGCCCCATATCGCCAGATCGCTATTGCAACGACAAAGAACTACTGCCGGTCCTGTCTGGGACGCAAAACTTTACGGCGAGTGGCCTTGGATCACGCCTCATCGCCATGCCGTTTGGCACGGTGTTTGGGACAACAGCTCTGTCTCCTCCATGTGGTGCCTCTCAGTTCACCATCACGACTTTTTACCCGACTGCACCCTCTCGGCCATGTTTTGTGCTGCGTAGCACACACCCACCTACTTCTGACGTGGTCATGTGCATGCCGTATCTCCCGGCACGCCTAACTCCACCGTGTTTGCTCGCGCTCTTCTACCCGCTCATCGGCAGCTGAAAGAGCTGAAGGAGCGTCAGAAGATGCAGCTGCGCCACAAGGCTGTCCGCCTCGGCCTGGAGCCCGAGTGAGTAGTACCCGCCCGTCGCCAGCCGGGCCCTCGCAGGGGCCAGGTCCGGCAGTGGATGACGCATCACACATGCGCCGCGATGACGCACGGGCGCCGGTCGATGACGAGCCGTCGTCCTGCGTCGCGACGCGGCGAGCAAGCGTGAAGCGTTGGACATCCGCCTGCCACATCCGTATGTTGCATGAGCCGCTCCGACGAAAAGCGATGATTTTTACTCAGAGTGCAGACATCCGGAATACCAGGAATGTGGAGGCGACGCTTACGGCTCACGATATATGTGATGATAACTTGCCGTGCTGATCGATGAGCCCAACTATCCAGCTGAGGCTGTGCACTGAGCCAGGGAATGTTAGACACCATGCCGCGATGTGCCAGCTATAGCGCATTTCATGTGGCAGAACTGCGCAGCGATAGTGCACCTGGTGTAACGGATCTGTAGCAAAGGCTCAGGCAACTTGAGTCGCGCACCAGGAGCCCTCCGAAGCCATCCGTAAAAAAACAGCTCGACTTTTGACACTCCGCCACCGATCTCGATAGCGGTCTGGGGTTTTCGGACGCGTCGGCCGGGTATTCCCAGGCAGCACGCATCGTCGCTGGCCTCATGCATATCAGTGCTAATCATAAAATCGTTTCGCGTTCCTTCATTCCTGGACGTGATGTATGTATTCAGTGCAAGCCCGGTCAGGCTTAACTTTGACGACGCCTAATAAACTGCACGCAGTGCTATGTGCAAGTGCGGGCTCACATTAGAAAATTATTATGTTTCGGCGAGTGTTTGCCATTACTATTTATCTACTATCATACTACTATCATGTGTAAGACGATTAAATGTACTAGGAGAAGAGACGCTTTTGGCTTGGAAAATACTGTCGTGATTCTCCATTCCTCTATTCCTGGATGCGACGTAATTAATTTCAGCAGCTTGAAAGTAATGCGAGCCCATTCGCACCATTGTTTAGCTCAGGCTACACTTGATATATTATGCATGGTACAATGTGCAAGTGCGGGGCCACACTGGAACCCTAATGTGATTCGGCAGCTGTTTTTCACTGATGTCATGTGTAAAATGAGTAATGGTCCGTGGAAACGGGGGTGCTTCTGTCGATAACTGTTATCGAACTTTTTCAGGGCCCTGACCGGAAAGCACCCGGTACGTACCTTACTGCGACTAATTTTACCAGTATAAATGTGCTTGATACCGTCGCTTTTTACCACTTTTGCCGAGGTTTGTTCGTCAGCGCTGACGGCCCAAAAGCCGGCATAAGTATGTTTTGACTCGTTCTGGGTAACACATGAAAGCGCCGAGTTTCTGGTATCAATATATAGTGCTAAACTTATTAAATGCATCGCACAGCAAAAGAGTGCTGGATGCCATTTCGGCGAAAAAAAACTTTGAGTGTTTGTTGTAGGTAGCTAAAACATGGACTGTAGTGATTGAGACGTAAATCGCAATTTTGATTGGTGTTGTCGGAGGGAGACCTGATCAGTTCTCTCGTTCCCCGCCTTTTAGCCCAAGATCCAGGTGGCATCGAAGTTCGAGCGTACCATCGACCGCCGCACCTATGTCGACAAGAAGGGTCTCTTCAGCGGCGTAAGTGGCGCGGCTCGGGGCGCGGCATCCAGATGGGTGCTGAACGATCAGAAAGCATGTTCCCAACACCGTCACTACATTATTGCAAGCAAAGCTGAAAATCTTGCGAAAAATGCGGCCCAGGGAATACACCATTTGCGTTATATTCTTTCACAAAACGCTTGCATTATGCTCGCTTCACTTAGGACCTGATTGGCAGGGGCAGGTGATTTGTCCGACGTCACGTCGGGTACCGTCCTTGATGTGTCGCTCGCTTCACTTCGGACCTGATTGGCGGGGGCGGGTGATTTGTCCGACGTCACGGCGGGTACCGTCCTTGATGTGTTTTGCTACTCTGACTCGCTTTTGCCGAAGATTTCGGCAAAATCCAAGACGCACACTTCAAATTTGAATGTGATTTTCATGATAATGACGGTAAAATGTCACCAAAAACACCTACCATTATCCATTGCAGTGCACCATTTGACAGCGCCAAACAGCTGGCTCTAGCTGAGTTCAACCCACTATGGTACACGACAGAACGTAAATGACTACTCATTTAGTACGGGTGTCTACCCGCGGATGCGACTAGTAATGGGTCTGTGCCGGTTTGGACGAGTGAATTGTCCCATCCGCTTTCTTGTAGATGTCCGCACCAAATGATCCCTACGCTCCAGGCATTTGGTTCCGTGCACGTAGCCACGGGGTGATCACAGCAGCCAGCGGAGGACCTGGCTGGTCTGGCTGGTGTTGCTCGTTCGCGAGTGTGATAAACAATGTGGCCCCACCAGTTGCTGTGAAAACAAGTTTCCGGGTCGTCCGTCACTTTCGAACTTAGTTCAGGCGGTATTATTGTCTTGGCTGGCTTAATTTTCTGACAAGTATTGAAAAATGCTGATTCCTCATCCAACTTCTCATTCCGCCGAGGCGGTAGTCTCAATACTCAATATGTTTTTGGTCTGAAGTACAATGCCTGTCAAGTGCTGTTTTAAACGTTTTCATAGTTAAAGTCAAGCTTCAATTAGCTTGATCAACCAAATTCCTCAGATCCCCATGTTTTCGTCAACAAAGCTATGCCAGGGCGCTCCATACGGTTCACTGTGTAAAGAGCGGAGGGACGAGGAACCCAACCTTCGTTAGAACATGTCACTTCTTGCTGTTTTTGCGCTTTTTCGCGACTTTAAGGAAGGGTAAAAACGAACCTGGGACTGGGCAAAAACCCAAGTGTTACAGAGCTGTGCTCATGCAACGTAATGCGTTTTGTGCTCCCTGAGTTGGCTTGTTAATGATTTTAAGAGCTCATATCTTCCCCATCTTAAGTGATGACCTCACGCCAGCGCAAGGCACATTACATTCCATTCTTAGTGTATGACACCGTGTCATATGCATTACTTGCTGCTATTCAAAGGCGGAGCGCAACTGCCGAGACACGTGACAGGATTGGGTTTCGTTTGCTCAGTCCAGGCCGTCGACGGACTTTTGGCCTTCGACGCCGCCGTGTACCGTGGCATGCCCCTTTATAGCTGGCTAGCGTGCTAAACTAGTTATCTGAGTATCAACAAACAAAATCAGTGGGGAGGAAAGCCGCCAGTCTGATACGGCAGCGGTGCGCCACAGGGCTGGGATGAGATCAGTAAAGAACAGCTGCAGAAGGAATGGGGAGAAAAGTACGAGGATTGGACCAAGCGGAACAAGAGTAAGTCGGTGGATTGAGAGTTTTGGATCTGTCCGAGGAGCGACTGGCTCGGACCGGTGTAGCAGCCTTTCCCTGCAGATGAAAGCTCAGGCGTGGCTGATCCTGGACAAAGCCAAAGCCTAGCAGCAGCTGGAGTAACCTACCCATTTGAAAGCGCATGCCGGTTGAGACATGATTTTCGCTTAGAAGTGACCGTAGCGCTGCGATCTGTGTTCGTCAGGGATATATCGACATGGATAAGGAAACCAAAGAAAAGATGTGGTCGGAAAAACTGAAAGACTTTGATACCCGCGCGAAAGGTAAGTGCATTGTGCATGTTTTGCGTGTGCTTTGTATTTTCTACTGACCAAATCCTAGAGCCCTCCATTGACATGTAAATGCGCCAAGGCAATCGCTAGTGTCAATGGATGCGGCACTAACACCCATGTTCAGCCAGATGACCTGCACATAGCATATCAAACCGATTTGAGCAGATGCAATCTGCTAAGAAGAGAAACAAGCACACAATGCGTACCAACCGACTAACAAATAAAATAAATGCTCCATTTCATGCAACCACTGTGCTTTCGCATATCTACCGCGTTCAGCGTCGGAATTGGAAATGGACACTACGCTTTATCCCTTATCGTGGCAATACCATTTCAACTGCGTATCTGCCAAGACCGGCCACATACTAGCATGTCACAAGCCTCGGTCCACGTAGCGCTACCACGAAATCCCTCTGTTGAACTAGAGTTATATGACTATAAGTAACAACCGAATCCGCTCGCATTGCATTCCGACTGTCTTAGTTCTCCAATGCACTGAGCCAGGTCAGATTAAGGCGCAGATGTCCGTATGGTAGCGGCGACCCTCGCCATGAGTCGGTGTCTCAATGGACGCTATTCCGTTGCAAGAGCTGGTTTGATGTAAAGGTCATGCAGTGCCGGCTCGTGATCCATGATCCACTTCAGCTCCTCGCCAGTTTACAGCTGCTTCAGTTTCCATGCTAGGTTATAACATAATGGCATGCGCCACACACGAGTCAGCGGTGTCTAGGTCATCGCATTGCTTCAACTGCACCATGAAATGTTGTAATGCCATGCCTGCTGGCCGCGGCATTGTTGCCAATAACGCTCAGGAGGAACTTTAGCAGAAGCTTGCCTATATCGTCCTGTGCTTTGAATGTGCCGCTAAATGGATCGTCACTAGCTCCATGCTCTCGCCAGCAATGCCGTCATCGATAGACAGCCGTACAGCGCTGTTAACACGTCTTTTTATGACAATCGACGGACCAACACTACTTCAACCTCGTTTGTGAGAAGATGGCGCTCATAGTCAGCACGAACGAGGTCTCTCAAGTGGCGCCGTAACAGTAACAACTACTGTGAAGTCTGCTGATGGCACCACGTCATGTGCCTACTTACCTACGAAGCCAGGCGCCTGCGCCGCTCGGCCCCCTCCATCGAAGCAAAATCGTCCCCGCTCGGTTTGCAAAGAGTCGTTTGAAGTGTATAACGTACATGATCCAGTTCAAGTCATTTGTGATTGATTTCTCAGCACCTATCCTGAGACATATATCGGTCCTGGTCGGCAGCCGTTACTCCTGTCTAAAACTTCCTACGTGATATCATGGCTAGGCAACAGGATTATAAACTTAGTGACTTCATTGCAAAACTGCAAGGCAAACGGAAATGACGATAATCAGCGACAAAATACCGTATAAGGGATGGATCTCAATTGTTTTTAAAAAAAAAAACGTATCCGGAGTGAACACATGCTCAGCTTTTGGATGGCGTGCTTCATGTCTGCTATACATTCCGAACGTGCCGAATGAAGCGCGTCACATGGTTGATGTGCGTTGAGCACAAAGTGTTGCTTACCACCGCACCTCTGCTGTCGGTCACTATTTCGCTTTTTCACTCGGTCACACCGTCACTGACCCGGTGGCGGATCCATCCCTGGCAGGATCCATCCCTGGCAGTCCGCCGACCCATCCCTGGCGGTCCGCCGACCCATCCCTGGCAGGACCCACACCCGGTAGTCCGCCACCCCATCCCCGGCAGTCCGCCGAGCCATCCCTGGAAGTTCGTCGACCCATCCCTGGCAGGAGCCATCCCCGCTGCCGGTGACGGCCCATCACTGACCGGGCGTCAGACAATCCCGCCGCACCCGTACCTCTGCCGTGTGCACACTCGGTGCTAACCAGCCACCCGCGACACAGCACGTCTGCCCAAGTGGTTCGGCGAGCGGCCCGGCAAGAAGACGGACGACCCCGAGACGCCCGTGGAGGAGGAGAAGGAGGAGGAGCTGGTGCCGCCGCCGCAGGAGATCGAGGAGCCTGAGGTCAGTACCTGACAACATTCAAATCGACCGCAGATGAGAGCTGAACGCGGCACAGTCGTTCCCTTCGGCCGCGCACCAGTCGCTCCCGGTCATTCTCGGCGGTGCTCCACAAACTTCACTATGGCCACGCTCACTGTTGGCTGTTGTCGCGTGTGCACTCATGAAGGGACTGTTTCTCATTTGATGAGATGGCCATTTTTGTGATCATTCCCGTCACTACACAGCCATTTTCTTTTTCAGATTTTCTCTCCTCCTGTTACTGACCTTGATACACGTCAACTTGTGCAGCCCATTACGCAAGCGTATATGATGCCGTAGGAACGCGAAACGAGCACCGCACCTCATTGGCCGTTTTATTCTCATGGTCAAGGTGCATGTGGTAACTTAATCTGCGTGTTGGGGGTAATGTAGCACCAAATTTTCCAACTACAGAAGCCAATTGGCTAAAAGTCAGAGTTCGCTGTTGACTGAAGGTCTCGTCGCGAACCACGTTTCAGTATTGATGACACAGGCACCTTGGCAACCACTAGATATGACGGGCCTGACGATGAGAACTGAGTATTTAAGAAAAGCACCGTAAACGAAACTGAAAATGCCAGTAAGAAGATGCCACCGCGAAAAATATACATAAACACCACGAAAAAGCCTAAGACACACGCACCTATGACGGTTGTTGAATTCACGTGAATAAATCAACAACACCACCTTTCGGCGCAAAGAAGTACCACAAGTGAGGCATACCGTTCGCTACAGCGGCACCTCTGACGCGGCAGCTCTGGCAGCTGCTCAGATGTAAAAAAATCCCATATCGTAATGAAACGATGAAATGATTAGAACCATATCCAAAGATATGTAAGATTGTGTGGTTATGTGCAGTCTTTTGCACGTAAAAGCAAGTTGCAGGTGAGGTTTTTCCTTCATATCTCAGGCTGGCCATAGCATCTTCAAACGTGAAACAGTCCGTTTATGTGGTGGCTTAATGCAAAGCCTCATCAGGCAAAGAGCTCATTTTTGATATGGCTTATCGTGTTACTGTTAGTGTTAAGTGTTATGCTATAGTGCTAACGAAATGGCGTCTCAGGAGGAAGAGGAGGAGGAGGAGGAGGAGAGTGAGGAGGAGGAGGAGGAGGAAGAGGAGGAAGAAGAGGAGGAATAATTCTACTCACGTAAGGATTCTGCAGTAATTATTGTCACATCAGTTGCACTTATTTAATATGCAAGTGAATGCACCAGCAACCAGCACCGAAGCGTGCAATGCATTCTGAGGACCTGAAAACAGCGTCGGTTTAAATGCAGCATAAAAACTCGGTAACACGGCATGTTTTGAGACTCGCCTTTTGTGCCACAATTCGTCACATCATGTACACCTTGACACGAGCCCCGCGAAGTGGCACATTCATTCATCACGCACGGTCACGCTCCGCATCGCTGTTTCTCGCTGTCTAACCACCATCACTTCCGCCGGCGTTTGTCCGCCGGCCGACCCGTCTCCGCGCGCTCACTGCCTCACCTCTTCCCAGGGCTAACACGTCTCCTCGCGAGCCGCGCGCGCCAACGCACGCCGGGCAGCGCCGCTGCGCGGCGACGATCCCGGCGCTGGTGGCGCTGGCCGTGCCGCACGCGGCGACGGCAGCGCGGCCGCCCGGGGACCTCCCAGCCCACCCCGGGCGGGCGCGGGCCGGCCCCGGCCGCGAGAGGGCGCACGGCCGGCGACGGGCAGCTGCGTGTGTGAGCTGTCTCCCTGTGCACTCGTGACGCTTCTGTTGTCTCTGTTGTATTTGAACAACGACTCATAAATGACTCGGTACAACCGCTTGGTTTGACGGAGCGGGGAGGTGAAGTCGTCGGGCCGCACATAAAGGAAATCTGGGGGACGTGGAATAAGCACGATGCATCTGGATCAAGGGCACGCATACTGACGTAACTCACACTGGAATCCCCAGTGCATCCACCGGAGCAGCGTGGACACGGGCAGCAGCGAGTGGGACACGCTGAAGGACTGCTTTTGCGAGCGCTACAAAAATGTTCTCATCACACGGTTACTTGCTCTGTGCAGTTGTTATCACGTCTCCGAGCGCTTCCTCCGGACACATCCACAACCATCAACCTTAACTGAGAACGACGCCTGTGGCTGAACGCTGGTATGGAAGGGGACTAGTCAGCTTGAGCCAGCATTGGATAGTGCAGTCAACTGTTGTTTTCATGGAGCGCGACGCACGTTGTCGCGCACTTTTTGAAGGAGCGCCAGTGACTGCAGTGGCTATGTTAAAGCTCAGGGGCCGTGGCGCGTCCGGGGTTCGGGATCGGGCCCCACACGTGCACTCCATATTAAAGCTCAGCGTCCATGGCGCATCCGGGCTTCGAGCTCGGGCCGTGGCGCATCCGGGCTTCGAGTTCGGGCCATGGCGCGTCCAGGCTTCGAGCTCGGGCCCTACACATGCACTCCATAGGCGCTATTCACTCAGCCAATGAACTGATTAATGCCATTCAACGAATGTTGACGAAAGTACACACCCATTTCCAGTGGTCTGATATCGTTATCTTCGGGAAAGCTCTAAAATTATTAAGACAATTAATATGATTCATGTGAACTTGCTAGCTAAAGGCGGCCTTCACGCCAGCGCTCCTCTCTACCGCAAAACAAGTATGAGCACAGTGTCTTGATTTTGTTGCTGGACTCGCTAGACCTTTTTAAGCTTGCTTGTCCAAATTATAACCGGGAAATTCGTCTTCTTTGCATTCATCCAATGTGAAAAAATGCTGGTAAAACCCTGGCAAAATACTTCACGCATGGCGTAATTTAAGACAAAAACACTTGTTAAAACAAAGACATCTTTGTTCAAGATGTCAACACAAGACACAGAAAACGTAAAACATAGAGCACAAAAACGCTGCCGTCGCTGCAATTCAGGAAGAGCGTGGGACACCCGACCGTTGGGAAGCAGTCACCCCTGTCCTGTTTGAACGGCCCGCTTCTGACCCGGTACGGCGAGAGGTGTATCGGGGTGATGTCGGCAAGCTTGCGTCCCAGAAGCCCCACTTGAGCAGCTCGCTTCAGGCGGTCAGCTGGTAACTGGCCACAAGGCGGGCTGAGACGTGGGTGGCCGTGCCACGGCATCGCGAGGCGCGTCAAAATCTGTCGGCCGGATTGCTCGTTGAAAAATGATTCTGCTGCGGTGGCGCGACAGATCGAATCCAGCGGCCTCTGCTTAGCGTGGAGCAATCACAGAACAGCATCACTGAAACACATTAGGTCTATCTGTTTTAACAAAGACAAGCTGCAAGATGCAAAGTACACAAATTTGCAAGACACTAGATGATAGCAAGGCACGCTGCGGAACGCAACCTAAATTGAGGGTAGCGAACAAGACTTGTCAGGTTATATCCAGGATGTACTTTCCGTCCATTTTTAGTTTTAGTGAACTGCTATGTTCATGCCAGCAAGGTGGCGGCTGCAAACGTGTAAAAATCTGACAGTTAGCCTTCGCATGCACCACACTTTTATCGGTGGAAGTTTTTTTCCACACTGGGGCTACATGGCACGGTTGAAAGGACTTCAAACGGATGTTTGTTACTGATGATTTTGGAAACAAAATATGTGTACGTGTCGGGTGCTAGACGGAAATCAGCGATCTTGCAGACAGGTGGCAAACCGCTGTTGGAATCAAAAATAGGTTCTTGGCCTTCGGCAAATACCTTACGTGGTAGGCCGAAAGGTAATCGCATAACATGAATCTGTTCAACAGTGAAATGCGCACAACAGCTTTTACTGCATTTTCAACAGGACCACAGCCTAAACTTGAACTGGGTCCAGCAAAACAAAGTGAGAGGTCTTGTTTTTCAGGCTCGTCTCCATGTTCGTAAACGTTATGTTAGCAAAATCACCAGGAATGAACGCTCTGTTTGATTGCCACCATCCCATGGTCCTTTGGGGCACCAGAAATTAGGGTGGTATAAAGGTTACTTTCACGCTGTCACTTATTAAGGCATCCCTGCGAGGGCTTTTATTCTTGCATTGCTTAGCACGTTGCTTGGCTACCGGTTACTTACAGATGTCCCCGCGATCAATTCTTCCCAAAACATCATCTAAAGACCTTCGAGGCGTCGTGCAAAAGGAAATCGATTATAGGATATACCCTGCAGGGACACCGAGTCAAAACGTCGGATACATGGATGCTATCCATTGATTGTTGGGTTGAGACACTGGCATCGCATCACCACTGCACCAGCTTGTTGTTTGCTGCTGTTCATTGTTGTTTTCGGGCGCGTCGACTACAATGGCCATTTCGCGCCCATAACGATGCTTTTACTGAACTAGTGTGGTGTAAAAATGACTTGAAAGTCAACGTCTTTTACGAACGAAAAAAGTTGTTTAAACTCAAGAAAGGAGAAGCTGTCACCGAGCACATCGCTAATCGTCAGGGGTGAAGCCTGCGGCCCAAAGTGACGTCGTCGTTCTTCGTTTAGGCGCGGACATGGTAAAATGACAGGTGGGCAGTGAAAACGGTATAACACCGATGACATAGGGGTCTGTCGGCTCTATGCAACAGATAACCATGGGTGGCATACTTGTGCCCAAAACGCAATCTGCATAGAGCTACTTATTCCTGCCGCACACCGCGAGGGCATGACAACCACAAGCTCAGCTCGGTTTTCATCACTCTGAGCTTATTTCCGCTCACTTGGTCCCAACAGTGCTGCAATTTTTTTTTGAGAAAGGTCTTGACTGCCAGGTAGAAATGTCTGGCAGGGATCGGCAAAAGCCGGGTACATGGTGCCAGTGCTGCTCGCTTAGCAGCGGCATCAGCCAACTCGTTGCCAACGATACCGACGTGACTGGGGATCCAGCACAGGGCAACTCTCTTTCCATCCCGATTCAACTGTGTCAGGCGTGATAAAATGTCCTGTATCAGGGGACATGATGGATAAAAAAATTCAGTGCAGGGAGACTGCTCAGTGAATCAGTAAAAATGGTGTGTGAAGATTTTTCACCAGCTTCTATGAAACATAACGCCTTGGTAATCGCAATCAATTCTGCTGTGAAAACTGACGCGTGAGCCAGTAAGCAGAATGATCGAGTGACGGAGCCGGTGACGAAAGCACAACCCACGCCATCCGAGGTTTGGGATTCGTCTATGTACGTCAGAGCGTATCCTTCATAAGACGCCGGAAGCTCAAGTGCCCTGGATCTTATTAGGTGTGGTGTGATGCCTTTTTTTCTTAATTTCTGTAAGAGAGATGTCTATGAAAGATATGGTCACTTGCCAAGGAGGAGAAGCCAGGTGGTTTACTTGCATTACACCTCGAAGAGGAATTTCGCCCTCTTGCAATAGGGCTCTCGCTCTGGAACCAAAAGCTAAAGCGTGTTGCTGCAGCCCATGACGAAGGGAGCTCACAGCAAACCGAGAAAATACTACAGAATATGTCGGATGTGACGGGAATTGCCACAGCTTCAAGGCATAACGTATGCCGAGCATTTTCCACATCGTCGACAGTGGTGGCTCGTGTGCCTCTGTTAAAAGACCGACAGAAGGTGATGTGCGGAACGCCCTAGAAACAATACGAATGGCAGTATGGTGAACGCCACCAAGAGCACGCTTGCTGGATTCAGACGCGCCATCATACACGAAGCATGCACAATCCAGTTTAGAGCGGACGAGTGAACGACGTAAAAGCATAAGTGTCTCTCTGACTGCCCCATATGAAGTGCGAGACATACAATTTAGTATGTTCAGAGATTTAAAGCAGCGATCGTGTGACATTTTAATATGTGCATTATATGTAAAACGGCGGCTAAAGTGTATCACAAGGTACCTGGCCACAGCTTCGGTTGTAATAGAGCGACCGTATAGACGGATGCTCAGGTCATCGCATCGCTGGCGACGACAAAAATGCATCGCAACGGTCTTGTCGCCTGAAAAGTGAAACCCGTTCATGTTGCTCCACCTTTCCACGCGGTCCACAGCCAGCTGGAGGCGTTGATCCACTGCTGGTGCTCTCACTGCACTGGTCCAAATAGTAAAATCGGCAACAAAAATGACACGTCCGACCGACTGGGGGAGCACAATACAAATGTCATTTATCATAACTGCGAACAGTGCTACACTTAATACGCCGTCCTGGGGCACACCGTTTATTTATTGGTACCTATCGGAGACGACGTTGCCGACGTGGACACGGAAATATCGTTTGGCTAAAAACCGTTGGAGAAAAGTACCCATATGACCGCGCATACCACATTTAAAAAGGTTTTGAAGAATACCATGGCGCCATGTGGTGTCATAGGCGGTTTCAATGTCAAAGAACACTGTTTCCATAAACGCTTTCTCCTGAAAAGCTTTACGAATCGTAGTGTCCAAAGCTAAAAGGTGGTCCACCGTACCACTGTTTTTCCTAAGCGCGCACTGCGAGTTACTAAAAATATCGTTGTTCTCCAAAAACCAGGTGAGTCGAACTTTTACCATCCTTTCCATGAGCTTGGATAGTGATGACGTAAGTGAAATGGGTCGGTAATGAAGAGGGTCCATCCAACTCTTTCCCAGTTTTAAAGTAGGCGCCACAACAGCTTCCCATCGGGCCAGAGGGAATTCACCACTTGACCACACCCCCTTGAAGGCCGCCAACAGCACACGACGTGCACAGGTGGCAGATATCGGAGCATCTCATTGTGGATGCTATCAGGGTCTTCCGATACACTACGGAGCTTTGCGATTGCCGATTCCAACTCCACCAAAGTGAACGGCTCATTGCACGCCTGTGGTTGCCTTGTGAAGAAGTCCACCACGATTTTTTCGCATGCTGTTCTTTGCTGTAAAAACTGTGGGCTCACGTTTGCACCTTCACTACACGGTGGGAGAGTGCTCGGGCGATCTCGTTAGCTACATCCAACGGATGTGTCGCCACTTGGCCGTTAACATGTAGCACAGGAAGTGGCACGGATGAAAACTGTCCGGAGATACGTTTAATCCGAGCCCAAACCTGCGAAGTTGGCGTGGTCGGTTGAGCGTGCTTACATACACACGCCAGTAGTCATGTTTTGCTTCTTTTATCGTGCGACGGGCAAAAGCTCTCGTTTTCCTAAAAGTTACTAAATTATCCAGGGTACTTCTGGCGTCAAAAGCTCGGAAAGCACGTCTGCGAGCGCGAATCACGCCACGCCACTTCTCTGTCCACACGAAACAAGAGTGTGACGGGGAAATCCAGAAGTAAACTGCACCAGCCGCCATGAACAATGCTCACCCGACGAACGCTCGACATTCGGTAGGTCCTGATCTAGCGTAGTTCGACGGTTGTGCTTTTGCATCTGCAGCTCGACGGTTGTGCCTTTGCATCTGCAGCTCGACGGTTGTGCCTTTGCATCTGCAAAGTGCCTTAGAGCCATAGTGCTCTGCGCTGTGCCGCAGAGCTATAATGCTCTACGCTGTGCCAAAGAGCCACAGTGCCCAATGCCAGTGTTCTGTCGAGCATCAAGCTCCGCTCAGTGCCACGGAGTCGCCGTCACCCCATCTCAGTGCATGACAGCAGGCCGGACTCAGTGTGGCCCACCAGTGAGTCATGGGCATTGTATCGTAGCTGAACGGTTCGCCCGTGACCACGTAAAAACATTTAGTTTTCTTCTACCACACTTGCCCACCTTGAAGGAAATGCGGTGGCAAAGGCAGCGGCCCCAACTATCCCTGTATCGAGCACATTGTATCTGAAAGGTCAAGCGCCGAGTGAACTTCCTTGACGAAGAACGTTTGAGGACATTTCACATCTCCTCTGTGGATACGCCGACAGAGCACCTCACCAGGCGCCTCAATATTCATTTAGCTTATTTCGTGTGGAGCCGCAACCTGGCGTGTGAAAAACGGAGACAGTTGAATAAAGCATTCAACTAGAGGCCTCTGATATCCTTGATTTCATTCCACATCCCCGCCACATTGCTGGCCGTAATGAGCACGTGAAGACCACTGCCATCATCCATATATTTACGGCCTCACGAATCAAGTACACGTCCTTAGAACTCGAACACACAAATATGGACCTAGCACCTTTTGAAAACGTCCTCGGCTTTATCACAATGTTAAGACAGGACTGCAGAGGCTCTTACATACCCCGTCGCTGCGTCAGTAGCAGTCGAACATCTGTTCATGGACAGGGATCGGGCGTGGCAAAGGGTTACACCGAGCGGGCAGAAACCTCGCCATAAACTCAGCAGCACCCACATTATGTCTCCCGCCAGCTCTGCCATTCACCTGACGTATGCCAATATTGTACTGTGCATACCGGCTAGCTCCATATACAGCCCGACGATGCAGCATATCCCGTACTGCCCAGTTTTCACACGCTCGACTAATGCTATCGGGCTTCTGGCAGCTGGCACTCATCGTTTTAATACTTTGACGAAGGTCTCCCGAGGGATGTCGATGTTGGCTATCCGCTTCATTCGCTTCTTGCCCTCGGCCTGTCGCTTCAACAGCTTCATCTTTCTGCTGATATCGCCTCCGTACTGCAGCAAAAGAGCATCCCGTCAAGGCTTACCCTAGCATTTTAGAATGATGTGAAAAAGCACAAGAGTCGAAGCAAACTCAATCCTTTCGTAATTGAGTCAAAAACGCATACATCAGGTCGATGTCTGCATAATCCGCTTCGTCAAGGTTGTGGAACATAACTTTATTGCCACTCCACACTTAGATATGTCACAACATATGTCGATCGACCTGTTCTAATAAAGAGTTATAAACACGACTCCCGCTGAAGTCGTGAAACGTAACTTAAGTGTCATCCAACCCTCAGATCTGCTATAAGATACGTCCATCGATCTT